TGCTTCCCACCTCTGATAAAGGAGGAAGGAGTCTGGAACCCAAAAAGTCCGCTCTCTCTGTTCCATTTTCTTTTGTTGTGCATGTGTGACTATAATGAAAACTTTCTTGTGGGCAAAAACAAGTAAGGAAATAAATAGCTTTACTGCTAAGCAAAGGAACACTATTTTGCAGTCAAGTGCCTATTTTTTCAGAGAAAACAAAGGCCTCAGCTTCATACAGTGTTGYACAACTTTTTAGTTTAAAGAGATGTACCCTTTCAAGTATTTCAAACAGTTATTGAATAGCTAAAGATTCCTCGTCATCTTCACCTTAACTTCTCTATGGCTAAAAAAGGTTTGTGCTATTTCAGCCTTCCACTCTATCCAAATACAAGTTCACCTTTCCATCCCATCATGACACCAGCTGCCTTTTTGTAAGGAATTATAGGTGATGGCATGTGTTTAGGTTAAGGCTACAGTGCCRTGCTTCCCTTTTGTATAATATGAAAAATATGAAAACATGAATTATTTCTCTTCTAATTATGGCAGGTTCCGGTCCMGGGCCTCCCCATTGTTGTGAGGGTGGCTGGCTGGTTTCCACACAGTGATCCTGACATATGAGGGTTACTCATAACCCTCAAATGCCTTGCAACACGTTGTACCAGGAACGGTGCTTCGGAGAAGGTGAAGCTGGGGTCAGAGGCATTCCTGCTAATTGCACTGATGGCAAGAGTTGCTCCATGACAGAGTCTGGTCTCTGATGTTAATGGTGGTAGCTGCTAATTGCTTCTAAGGAGGACCCAGAAAGGGGAATGGGAGCTGGATAGTAACTCCCAGCCCGGGCACACACATGTGCTGATAAGCACTGCTAATCTCTTGGGGAGTGTGGTATGTGGGGAGGATGCGCCGGGCAAGCTCTGCAGGGGCTCGGAGGGGGATGCATGAACAACCAGCCGTGGAAAATGTGCTGTTGTGTGTCTGCCTGGTGCTCTTGGCACTGACTATGGAAGGCCCCTAATATATTGATGTAGTTTTCCAAAGGTGTCAGCAATGACGTGGCAGGCCTCTGGCTAACTTCTGCAGCATTCATTCATACAGGGTTCTGGCAGTCTTCAGCCTCTGCCAAACCCCTGTCTGCTAATACCACAACCCTACCATGTAGTGGGTAGTTTTCTTTCCTAATCCCCTTTTTTCTTTTAATTTTCTTGTTTCCTATAATCCCTCCTTGAGTTGAAAATCTCACAGTTAGGCAAGGAGAGCCCTGCAAAGTATAGTTCATGTGGAATGAAGCTCTAATAGGAAAATGAGCATCTTGTATGTTAGAGTAAGCCTCAACTTGGGATCTTATTTATTTCCTTTTTTTTTTTTTTTTTTTTCCTCCCTGAACCTTTCCCACTTGGTGGCTCAAACTCAGAAAATCCTATTTGCCCTAAGCWGTGTCTTATTTTGTAAATATTCCTGCTGGCTGAGTCATCCAGCACCATACAGCTCAGAAGAGTGCAATCCTGCATGGGAAGGGAAGTTGTGCAAGGTTTGGGAAGCTTTGTTGACCTGCTGGAAGAGTAAATTTATAGGGAAGATCTAGGACAACGTATTTACTGAACTTCCTCGAGCTTGGCCTGAGATTCTTGAATGAGGAAACCTAAGACATGACTAGCAATAGCCTGAGAAAAATGAATATTTTGCAGAGCTTTTACTGTTGTTCACCTTAGCAGAGGGAGGAGGTTGTARTCTATCTTGTTTTAAGAGTTATTCTATCCTTGCAGAAAGAACAGAGGCTGTAAAATAAGCTTTTGGCTGACAGAAGTTTTGGTTTTGAGCTGTTGGGAGGGTGCACTGAAATTGTAAGGCTGCCTTTCCGCACAGTGCTCCAGCTGTCACGTTTCTTTGATTGCTCTGCTTCATCAGCGGGCATGTGAAGGCMGAGCCCTCGATTGAAATGCTTGGCTTTTGACGGGGCACAGCTCCTCGTCCTCAAGCACTGCTCCGAGTAGAGCACTGCCCACCTGCCTTGGCTGAATCGGGGAGGGAAGGAGGAAATCATTCCAGCAAGTGAAGTTCGGGGGACTTGCTGCTCAGCGCAGTCAGGGACAGGATCTCCAGCACCTTCAAGAGGGAAGGAACAGCAATGGGGACCAGCACGAATCAGTGTAAACAAAAGGAAAAGGTAACGCTTGCTAAGAATCAAATTATGAACCATGTTTGTCGCATTTGAAGCATAATTGTAGCAATTACAGGTTACCTAAATGTGACCTGAATAAGGCTTCAGTAGAGTTTCTAAAAGGACTCCTCGAAGTACGTGCGTTGTGTTTGACAGCCGCTCACCCGGGCTAGTGTGTGCGTTGGGCTCAGGCTTTGCTGCGCGCTTCCTCAGAGGCAGGCGCTCACTGTGGAGCAGGTTTTGTGCTGGAATCGGAAGAAGCTCAGAGTTGGACCTCAACGCTGTCCAGTTTGAACTGAGCCCATGTTCACTTGAACCTGGTATCAGCATCATCTTCTTCCAGATGGAAAATGTGATTACCACTTGCATGAAAATAGTATCGACCTTTCGTTACGAGTGTGGTGACAAATATCTGAGTCCCTGTTTCGGGTGGTACTGCCAAGCATCCATGGCTGGACAGGCTTGATTGCCTCTGGCACTGCCACAGCTGTGCTCAGGTGCTTGAGCACTGGGGYCGGCTCACTTATTGCAGGGTCTGCTTTGTACCATTGCTCTCTTTTGCAGATGAAAGCATGAGTGGAAGGCGGCAGTGTGACTGCTCCTGTGCTGGGCTAAAGCCCAGCGAGGTGCATTTGCTTGCAATGGGACTGAGCATGACCTGATTAAAGGTGCTCCTGTGGCATGGAGTTGTTCCCTGATCTTGTTCTTCCCACAGGCTGGTATTTTGCAACCCGAAGTTTCAGTTCAGATCTGCTGCTCAGAGATAGGTTTGGGAACAAGGCAGAAGGAAATAATTTTTCTCACTAACTCGCCTGTGTTGTCAGGGATTCTGTTTTCTCTCTTAAAGATGAYGAAACTGTGAACCTCAAGAGCACCCTGCCCTTCATTTAGGGATTAGTGACTTCACCAATACAGGCAGAACAAACAAGGAGCTTTGGACTTAGATGGTAGCAGGTTTAAAGCTTCCCAGTCCAAGGTGAGAAAATGAGGAGACACTTTCAGCCACAATAGTACTGGAGCCATTTCATAAATGAAGAGACCCACGAGCTAATGATAAAGGATTTGGAACCTCTCGGCCAAACTCATTCCTGGTGTAAGCCTGGAGTTTTTCCAAGTCAAATGACAGAAGTGGGGGCAAACAAGAGGAATCCTTGGTAGCAAATGTGATTAGATGAAGCAAACAGTTAAGACTCCACTGTAACTGCAGTTCATCATGCAATTAGTTTCTTAACAGCTTCACCGTTCAGGTGGCCTCTTCCCTGGCACAGTGCCACGGCAGCCAAGTAAATCAGCTTTACATACACAGCTGCTGATCAGCACCGCACCTCCAGACCTCCCGGCTGAACTGGGAGGCTGAATTGAAAGGGAGAAGATGCCYGGATAGGCAGGTAGGAACAGGACAAGAAATGAGGAGGTAGCCTAATAGCGCCCAACTAATACCGTGAGGTACCCAAGGGTTTCTGTGGGATGAAAAGCTTGTCGAGGTTTTGCCAGCCAAGGCCCTGCTGTCTCTGGCTCTACAACCAAGAACCAAGGGGCTCATCTGGGGTAATGGTGAAGTCTCTGCCTCCCAATCATGGGAGTCCCAATTTTAGGGTCCCAATCATGACGACTCAATCCCTGCTGCCCTTAACCAGCAGTATTTCAGGCGTGCTGTAGCAGGCTGTTTTACACAGTGTGGCATGTGGTGCTTCATCCTCACCACGGATGAAGCTAAGTGGAGTTGTCCTTGGTGTTGGTTATTTGGCATGTAAGGTGTAGTGGAACAGTGAGCAGACGGCCTCTTGGTTCACACAAAAGCTGCCATCTTCCAAAGATGACTCTTTGGATATAGCCAGCGCTCTGGAGCTGGCATAACTAGGACTGCCAAGGTTAGTCCCAAGCGTGTGTGATTTCTCAGGTTAGTCCCAAGTGGGTGCGATCACGACGACGACGCTGCTGCGTGGATGACTCAACTGCACGTCCATCTCCCCCATGGCCTCAGTAGCTGAACAAAGTCTCAGAAGGAATAACTCTGGAAAAGTATTATATTGTATAAAATATTCTGTTTCATTTTGAAGCTTGGAGAGCTTGTAGCTAGTTGTACTGCACCCATCTGATCTAGTTCAATAAAAAAACGCACATTAATTATTTTAAAAATAAAGGAATAGTACTGGTTCATAACAAAACTGTTTAGAAACAGATAAAAAGAAATTTTTCTCTTGTCTGTCTTCACTTATCAGCAACTATAGATATCTATACACACACATAGAAGAAAAGCAGACTAAATGTAAACATAAGCTGCTTACAACACAGCCTGAATTTTGTAATGATGTATGTGTTTGTATGCATGATTGCTGCTACTAGAACAGCACTCAGATAAAGTGTACACGTGTGTGCAAGCTTGGATCAAAGCACAAGTGCCCAGAACTTGCAAACAGCCATTCCTTCTAAGTCTGCATTCTGTGTGTCTGTATGTGAAAACTAACCAATAAAATTCTCCCTCAAAAAAAAAAACAACAAAAAAAAAAACCCACCAACTAAAATGAGGAAGGAAACTATATAAATTCTCTGGGGAAGTATGAGTGTGCCTAATAGCTCCTCTAGAACTAGAAAGAGTTTTCTTGAAACAATATTTTTGGGATTAACTCAACTACTTTGCCCAAGGCATCATTTAAGTTACTTTCTTATTTAGTACCATTTGTATTATTGTTTGCATAAGAAATCCTGCTCCGCAACTATTTCTAGTGTAATACCRCTGAAGTCGGTGAGCTTAACCAGGGATGGATTTGCTCTTCTCCTCCCCYTTTTTTTCCTCACTTTATTTATTTGCCTTGTAAACCAGAATTACCCACAGTAGTTATCTATCTCTTCTAGAAATCCGGCAGCACCTTGCAAAGGCATTAGGAGCTGCGCACGAGGCTTCCTGCGCCTGTCTGTACCTGTCACCCCACAGCAGCACAACAGCCGTCGCTGTTTCGATTGCTTCTTGCAGATAAAATGAGCTGCCCCGTAAACCGGGTGAGTTAAAGCTAAGAAGTAGCATTTGGATATTCATATCTAACTTCTCCACTTGATCTCATGCAGTGGCACTACCATTAACTCTCATATTGGATTGCTTCAGATGAAAAGAGACCTTGCACCCTGTGTTTGGCTGCAGCAGGAGAGGCTTGTGGCTTTTGGAAGCTGAGGCTTTTGCTCTATGTTGTGTGAATTTCTATCTTTCTGCCCCAAACTAGGGTGTATTTTTTAACAAAGAAAGAAGAAAAGATATTGGTCTACGAGTGAGCCTAAAGACCTTTCATGAGTCRTGCTCAGTATTGCTGAGGTGCCATTACACTCATTGGTCATCAGAGTTAAAGATGTCTCAAGATACCAAATAGAATCAGACTAGTATTCTGTATGGCACTGATGATTTTCAAATTATAGTTGATAAGCATATACTTGTAAATTATGTTGAAATACTCATGTTTTTAGATCTAATAACAAATTCTCACGTTTTGATGTCTTCTGGCCGTCTGTGCTTAAACTGAATCTGCAGGGAGTTAGGATGCTTCACCACAACCTTGACCCAAAATCAAATTTAAATCTTACTGCAGTAAAAATTGATGTAACCTGACTGAGGGCAAGGGATTTGGGCTTCTGGATTCACACCAGTGTTTAGTGTAACAAATATTTTTTTAAAAATGAGTGAATTCCAATTAGGATGCTATTTGATTAGTTTCTCTCTGAAAACATGATGGAAATATTTTTCTCATTTGCATTAAAAGTCATTCTATTTTTTGTACATCTTCAGTAAAGAGTGCATTAAATTTTGAACAGAAATACAGTTTTAAATGAAAACTGAACTTGAGATTTTTTTAACAAAGAATTCCAGTTGCATGCAGGCTATTTTCTTTAGAAAAACTGTTCTGATGGAAATTTTSTGACCTGCTCTAAACCTGACTCATATTTCAAACAAATAAGACACTGCTCAGCAGATGTTCAGGAAGGAGCAAGCCAGTAAGAAACCTAAATGACACATACATTCCCATGTGGTTACACTTGAGGTTCCTAGTGCTATAAACAGGAAGGATGGGACAGTCGCTAAGGTAATGTGTGAGCCATGAGAGGAATCAATTTTTTTTGTTATTATTTGTTTTTTATTCAGCACTGCACCTAGTTTTCTGTTGTTGTTAAAGGAGGAAGAAAAATTACCGACATTCATTTTGCACAAAACACAACACTGCTGTTTTTGACTCTGAAGGAAAGCACTCGGTGCCCCTCRCGTGGGCTGTTGTGAAGTCTAGCTCCCATGTAAATGGAAAATGACCAATATAAAATCAAAAATGTTAAATGTTAAAGACTGCAACATGGCTAAAATTATTGATGAAGCTTGAGTTGAATGTTGTAAAGGGCTTTTTTGTGTATGTCTGATGSGGGGGAATCTGAGACCGTGTTACTCAGCAAATGAGCTGTCGGTGTGGGAAAAATCCTGATCTCAGGAAGACTTGGAAATCCCACTTGGAAGAAGGCTCATTCTGAGCCCTGGGCAAGTCACTTGAGCAAGATCATCACAGGTATCTGGCTCACAGACAAGCTCTTTCTGAAGAGCTCAACCACTGTGTCAATGTATTAATTCTACAATTGTATCATTGGATAAATAGGTAAGGAGCAGATGGATTACTGCATATCCCTAAATCTAAAGAGCAAGGCCCTAACGTAGTACAGCCCTGTCTTCRCTGGAACCAGCAAATGCAAAGCACGATTTTACTTCCATGCTGACAAATGCCACTCTTTCTTTGCCAAAAACATAGAATTTCCACTGGAATACTGAAATTTCTTGTTTTTCTGCATCAGGAGCAATTTGCCTGTTATTGTTTATATGCAAGAACCAGAGATATCAGGCAGGCAGCGCTTCCCCCTCCTCCCCTTGATCCCCGTGGCGTTGTGCTGGATGGGGACAAGAGCTTGGAGGGTGTTTCCTGGGGCAGGAGGTGGCCTCGTGCTGCAGCCCCGGCTGCAGGGAGAGGTGGGCACAGCACGGGCTGCCAGGGATGGTCTCACATCGTGGGCCTTCCGTGAAGGAAAGCCGCTTCAAAGGAGGATAAAGGAGGCAGCGAGGTGGTAGCTGCTGTAGGAGCTATTGCAGAGCAGCTGGGTGCATCTGCTTTGCTTCACCTCCACAGCGAATCAATCTGTATTTTAGATCTAAACCATTTCCCCAGTGCCTAGTTTTGTTATCTCACACTGCTGTTACTCCAGCCTTGCTCTTACCTGGTTGTTCCCACCTCTCCCTTTCATCTCTTCAGCCTCCTCTTTTGGCCTCCCGTTAGAAATACCCACAGTGCGCCCGGGGGAGCAGCACTCGGCGCCCTGGGCGTTTGCTCGGGCGCGCGCCTTGCTTGTCGGTGCTCAGTGCTGGGTGCTCAGTGCTGGGTGTGCAGCGCTGGGTGCTCAGCGCTTGCCTCTGTCCCCATGTGCCTCCCGCGCACGCGCTGCCTCGCGCCTCCCTGCCCAAGCAACATCTGCTTATCGGGACTTCTGGTGCTGTGGTTAGTGAGTAAGTGCTCGTGTTTCCTTGCATTTCTGTCCTGTCAAAGATATTTGAGCTACAAAAAAAAAAAAAAAAAAAAAATCTGTTGAGCTCTTGTTTCTCTCTCTTCTTTTTTTTTCCTGTCTTTCTCTCTCTCTCTCTCTCTCTCTTTCTCTCTCTCTCTCTCTCTCTCTCTCTCTCTCCTGTAAATCTATCCCCAGTTGGTGCAGGTGAACCTGTAACCAGTGCTAAAAATAAGACCTCCCCACATTCTGGCTGAGCTCTAACTAAAATATAGATAACCCGTGCTTTGGGGACTGCCCCATTTTTCTCAATCCTGCCTACTCTCTGCGCTGGTTTGTTGGGCTCACTAGGTATTCCCGGCTGCGTGAAGAGCCCTCAGAAATGCGGGKGCATCATCCAGGCGTGTTGCGTGGCAGTGATGGGGCGCAGCGAGAGCAGCACCCCATGCGTGCAGCCAGCTCCCACATCCCTCATCCYTCCAGTGCTGCCCGGAAACACATTAGCTGCTCATTCCAGGCAGAACCCGCCGCTCACAAATGCACTCTGCTTTTGCTAGCATAATCACGCTTTTTATGTATTTATTGGTGCCATGTATTGCTCTCGCTATTTCCACACATTGCAGTGCTGTTCTATGCCCTGGCACCCGCTTAAAGAAACGAGCAGATCATTATTTGCTTCTGATTAGTACAGTGCATTTGAGTGGCGTGCTGGAGGCAAAAATTTAAAATGCATCAAAATGCAAATATGCCCCCATTGACCTCTGAAAAACTGTGTTGCATTACAAAGTGCTTTCTTTGAAAGCTAGAAAGGGAAAGGCAGGAGATGAGAAGTTTGCAGAGGTTTCTGGTTTTAAAAAGGAATTAATAGAGGATGGCTCCTTAGAGGTTGTGTTGTGCGTTATGCATAAAGCCTGTTCCCCTCTTAAGGGGAAGCGCAGGGGCCAGATAGCCCTGCCCACCTTGTGTCACTTGGCTTGCTTTGCTAGAAGAGCCACTCGAGTGAATGGGCTTGCTTGTGGTGCATATTCCCTCAATCTGCCAAGATTCAAATATGTAGGTTAATATATGGCAAAGGCCCAAAAGGAGAGACACAGAAATTATTCATGATCCTGTCTTTCAGTCTGAAAGCCTCCCTCTATAACCTCAGCTTAATGACTCTGCGTTTCAGAGGTAAATAATTTTCACCAAAAAAAAAGTGAGACAGACAGATTTGCCTGGAGAATACGAGGCTGGGATTCAAACAGGCAGCATCCCTATATCATTGCGTGCCTGAGAAATGCACTGTGGAACAAGAGCTAATGTTACGTGAGTTACTGGAGCTAACTGCTCTTTCACAGGCATCAGTAGTACTCTTTAACCAGAGAACATTGCAGCGAGACATTGGGTTACTTCAGTGCCAAAAAGAAGAAAACACAACCCACAAATCCCCCTCTCCAAAATGTAAGCTTCTGCCCTGGTCTTATTCTCCAAAATCCTTTCCTGCAGATATTTGTGTGCCTGTAGCCATGACTTTCCCTAATCCTCTGGCACAGGTCTAAAAAGGAGGATGTCCTCGAAACAAATCTAAATGCTTTAAAATCTTTCACTCTAGCCAAGCAACTGTTTGCGTGAACGTGTTAATATTATTCAGCGTTCAAACTGGCCCGACCCCTTTAATGAGGCAAGTCGTTAGGGCAGCCTTTGATTAGCCAGCTTGCTGCGCTGCGCCCTGCTGCTCTTCAGTGTCTGCTGCTGCAGTGAGCAGCGCGACGAGCGGCGCCGCCGCTTCCAGCCGCGTGTTCCCCTTCACCAGGCGTACGAGGGTCTCGGGCGGTAAACACAACAAATCAGCAGCAGGAAAGGGAGCACCAGTCAGGAAAAGAAGGTGAAGCCATCGCTAGCATTCCCAAACCAAGCGGAAGGAGGGAAAGCCTGTGTCGCCTCCCCTTCCCCGTGCCACYGCGGCTGTTGTGGCGTCGCTTAGCTGGTGTCGCTGGCTCTGCCTATTGCTTCAGTGCGCTTGGCCCTAAATGAAAGCTCTCTCATGCTAATGACCAGGATGCCCACCCTAATCATGTATTTGAAATATTAATAAAAATAATTTATGTCATGTGACTGCTTTTTAACTAGCTGCTTTCGGGACTTTAGATCAGGATTATAAAAGACGTGCATTTATAAATTATTAGCCTTGAGCACATAAGCACTGTATACTATGGGGAGCACTTTTGTAGCACTTTAAATTAATTTATTGTTATTCATTCCAGCTGTCTGTGATGTAAACCTTTGGCTATAAATTTGTACCATCATCCAACACACCATTAAACTAAAGTGGTGCCCGTGCTGGAGCATATAATAAAACATATGAATAAGATTTCTGTGGGGACACTTTTTTTAAACTCTCTTCTCAGTTAATGACACAAGAAAAGTGAGATAACAGTCACCCTGTAACTATGTGTTCATTAGAATATGTCTGGTGGGGAAGAGTTTTAAATTTGCACTTCTATTGAATTCTGACTCAATGTTTTTCTTTACCAGATTGTTTCAATTCATATCCTATCTTAAGCAAAAGGCTTTGTCTGAATCCGTCATGAAGTCACCAGCCAAGAGTGCCAGAGGATTTTGCTGGACCTGAGCTTTTCAGTGGTGGAAATAGCTCCTAAGCACTGAACTGCAGACCGACAAGAGCAGAGCACTTGGACTCTCTTATCTCCTCTGCCGACAAGCATTCCTTCTCCTACACATCACCGTTAGGGGAGCAAAACTTTATCTGCATGACTAACACCATAATGTCCTAATCCATTTAACTGTATGGATATGTTACATGCCAAATCCTTGGGATACAATTTCCTATATTTTAAAGCAAGTTGTCATCATGCAGTGCTCTACCAAGCMGAGCTATAACCACCCATTGTTGCTCTTCTCCCAGGTAGGTCTCCTCTTTCCCCTGTACTACGTTAGATGATGGTTATATTGTGGTTCCAGCATCACGTAATGCTTGATATTTCTTGTTAATACTTGTTTACTGCTGATACTGATACTGCTTGTTAATATTTCTTGTCATTTCTGTGGTAGGTGGCAGAGTAGACCTGTTTGAAGGAAGTCCCAACTGATCTTCCACTGTTTTTTGGTAAGAATTCGGCTGCTCAGAATTTCTCAGATTTAGACTTCTGCTCCTGATATAAAATATAGCTGTATGAGAACAGAGATCTCAACTTGAATGTTAGATTCTCAGCTGAGATAATGTAGGAGCTGGGGCTCCTTTCATTTGTACCAGCTGTTCATATGCCACAGCTTTTCAGATGTAGAGCTCGGTAAGTTATTCGTCTATTAGCAAGGGCCTTTCAAAGTCAACTGCATGGAAAATGGTGCCCAGAAAGAAYGTATTTTTGATTGTAACTAATTAATCCAAAGACTAGTTTGAAGAACTTAAGTTCTCTTTTCTGTATATTTCCAAATTTATCCTAAATTTCTCGGTCTTTGATTTGGGTTTTTTCTCTAAATAATCTGCAAATAAAATATCTGAACCACTTGGGAATATGAGTAGATGAGTAACAGTCCTTTACACACAAAAATTAACATTTGACTATGGCAGTGAGAAAAGATACTGTCCACATGGAGAATTTTGGTTTTATCCAAATATCTCCAAGTTAGGAATTCTATCTCAACTGTCTAAAGTTCTTGAAACATATTCAATAGAAATTTCAAAAAGAAGCCTTTGGTATTCACCAGAACTGAATTCTGGTCTCTGAACTGCCCTGGATACTTGAATCATGATGCTGCACTTAGATAAAGATTGACACTTGAATGAAGTGTATCGTGCCATAGATAACACATGAATGATATTTTTCAGTCTGATTTGCGTGCCACAGCAAGACTTTCATGTGGATATCTGCATGAAAAGGAAGAATAATAGCGAGTGGAAGAAAAGGCAGGAAAAACCTGAACCATATTTACATTCTTGGGGAAAAAAAGGGGTGAGAGATCAGATTTATCTATTCAAATTATCCTTGCTTCTGAACAGAACATAGATCAATACCAGCTTGCACTTTTATATCTCTTCCAATTAAAGGAAAACACACTTGTATGCTGATCATCTGCCTCATTTCCAAAAGTATTCTGTGGTGTGGCTGGATTATAGGAGCTAGCTAGCAAACAAGGAGTTAATCACAGTTGAGGGAGTTGGAGGTGATTAGGACAAGAGCTATAAATCAGCTGCCTGAGATGCAAAGGGATGTTGATTACTTGGCTAGAGGGTCAGCTTTAGTTGTTGTCTTAGGTGCAAGTGCAAAGACTTGGATAGTTGCAGCAATTGCTCAGTTTGAGCTCTTCTTTCCTGGGAAAATTCTCCACTCATGGAGTTTGCTTTAGGTGGAGACCTAATCCACTGTGTCTGTCTGCAGTGTTAGCCTTTGCCAGTTATATTTACATTCTGTCCCAGGATACACGCAAGAGAGTCCCTGTTTTTTTATCGATGTGCTAAGATTTTAGATTTTCTTCCAGCTTGTATACTACAGAAGATGACAACTTGGTCATGGGGGAAAAAATATATTTGGAGCTTTCCTTTTTGTTACTTGGCTTATCAATTGCTACTATAGATGTATTTCAGTGATTGGAAGGGAACTGATGATATATCATAGAATTTATGACATCAAAAGAAGAGTGTGTTGTGTTTCAGTTGCAGCATCCAAGATGACCTAGTTCAGTTCTCAGCTGTTCATGAATCTTTTCAGCTTTTCATGCCTCAGTTTCCTAGCAGCTGAATAGAAAGAAGGTTCCTTTTTTTCCACTCTTACTTAAACTGTAATCTATTGGGAGTCATAGTGCTACACACTTCATTATCCCTTAGGTTGCTCAAATCCTCAGAAAACGCTTCAGTACGAAGTGGTGCTTCTCTTCAGTCATCTCCACACTGGTGGTGCCTGCTGATGTCACTGCAGAGAGCTGCCCTTTTTTTGTCTCCACTGTTTGGAAGGATCAAGCTTTTTATTCCAGTGACTCAACAAGCAGTCAAGAAGGATCCTTGCCTCAAGAACAGCAGCTCCTCTGAGAAACGAGAGAGGACGGGTGTGCTCCGGGAGCAGAGGACAACAACTGAAGCTGTAGCTGCTGCCACAGTTTGGCACAAGCGCCCTCRGAAGCAGCTGTGAGAAAGGCACCCTCTCCCCTTCCCTCACACGGCCGTGCTGGGCCAGCTGGAGGGCACCGTGGTGCTCGCTAGCTGGGCTCGTGGGCACGGCGTGAATTGTGCCCCAGAGGTGCCTGYGTGTAGCTGAGACTGCGCTGCAGGTGGCTGCTGTGCTCGTCAGCAGCACGCAGACGTATGCTGGCTTTTGTGGCATCGTCAAAATACACTTTCGAGCCCATTTCAGCAGCAAGCCTGGTTAGAGTGCATGCCAGGAAATGTTAATTACTGCAGTGCAATCTTCTGTTTTCTGTGGTGCAATAGCAATTAATTTATACCATTTGAAAAACACTTGCACATTTTTATTAAAAATCAATAAAAGCAAGTCAATACAATGTAAAGCATACAATATCAAAATGAAAAGCTCTTGCTTTTGTATTTGAGCGTCACTGACAAAATTTCACTGTTGATTCAGACAGTTTTGTCTGCTGTAATCTAATGAGAAGCCATTGTGYTTCTTTTCAGCATTTGGAAACAAATACAAATGTTGGCCTAATACATAGTATAAGAATGCAGTAAGTTACCCCCAGTGGCAAGTCAATGTGATGATGCAAATGCTGCTGTATTCACCTCTCTGCATCCTGGCACCTGACAATTCATGGGATCCATTTTGAATTAGGTTAACTTTTAGTTATTGTTGTAATTAGGGGAAAAAAAAGCTCCAAAAGACTGCTCCATTGTTTCATAATCYAATGAGGTAATTGAACAAGCATTTCCAAGAGTATTGCTTTTTCGGTCATGTTCCTGAGTGTATAGGTAATAGATTTGGCTTGATCTTTTAACAGTAGTAAACCAGAGTAGAAAGGAATTGGGGTGACTTCAATGTTGTGAAAGCACTAATGTAGGCAGTTAGTGACCTAACACTGATGGTAGGTACGTCACCAACTCCTTGCAGTACTGTGGGTTCCAGCTTGAAGTATTTTATTATTCTTTTAAAACTGAATTAATGGATGATCCTTTTAACTGTGTGAAATGATCCAGACATGATAGTAGTTTTTCAAAGCTTTTAGACAGTTCTGATAGTTCATGACAGTGGGCTGGGAGGACAAAYATCGTGGTTATAAAAATATATTAACTAGACTAATTTTCAAGGGATAGAGAATTCATTCAAAACAGCCAGGAGCTCTTTTTGCTTTGCTACRGGGATATTAACAATAATGAAATACAAGATTCTGAAAATAATTATAACTTTTTCAAAGGTGGCAATTGGATTTGAATTGTTTCTAGAAAATTATCTCTAGCATGGCAGTATGTCGCTAAGATACTGCAAAAGGGAGGGAGATGTGGACAGAGGGATCTGGACAGGCAGAATTGATGGGCTGAAGCCAACTGTATGAGGTTTAACAAAACCAAGGGCCAGGCCCAGTCACAACTATCCCATGCAGCGCTTGGGGCAGAGCAGCTGGAGAGCTGCGTGGCTGAAAAGGATCTGGGCAGGTTCGTTGACAGTCAGTTGAACGTCAGCCAGCAGCGTGCCTAGGTGGCCAAGGCCAACGGCCTTCTGGCTGGTGTCAGGAATGGTGTGGCCAGCAGGCCCAGGAAGGTGATGGTCCCCCTGTACTTGGCACTGGTGAGGCCGCACCTYGAATATTGTGTTCAGATTTGGGCCCCTCACTGCAAGAAAGACACTGCGGCTCTGGAGTGTGCCCAAAGAAGGGCAACAAGAGTGGAAAAGGGGCTGGACCTTACAAGGAGCGGCTGAAGGAGCTGGTGTGGGTTAGTCTGGAGAAGAGGAAGCTCAGGGGAGACCTGTTGTCTAAAAGAGCTTCTCCAGCTCTCTTCAACTACCTGAAAGGAGATTATAACAAGGTGAGGGTTGGTCTCTTCTCCAGAAGAGCTACCAATAGGACAAGAGGAAAGGGCCTCAAGTTGTGCCAGAGGAGGTTCAAGTTAGACCTTAGGAAGAATTTCTACATGGAAAGAGTGGTAAAGCATTGGAATAGGCTGCCCAGGGAAGTGGTGAAGTCACCCTCTCTGACAATGTTCAAGAAATGTGTAGATTAGGCAGTTGGGGACATGGTTTAGCAGGCATGGTGATGATGGGTTTGTGGTTGGACTTCATAATCGTAAAGGGCCTTTCCAATGATAATGATTCTATGAAAAAGTTGTAAACTGTGTTCTGTATATGGCATGCTCGTATATGACAGCTTCCACCTTCTGCAMAAGGAGTGGTGATGTGGCCATCATTCGATTGTTGCGATGGATGAGATGGAGGATGGACATAAAAATGWACGTCCATCATTCTCTCTGTGTGTGGCATTATTTTTTCTCATGTATATCCTATCTGCGTGACCTTTACTTCATCCGTACTTCCTAATGCCTGATTCAACGAAGCTAGAACAAGCACTATTGAAGGTAGCGTACTTATTAACCTAATATAAGTCTTACAGAAATGTATGTCCTGAAATGTGCATCTTGAGCATGTTATTAACTTCAGGTATTTTAGCATAAGTCTTACCGAGGTAAAAAGGATGTGCTTTAGGGCACAGATAACTATCACCTAGGAAAGAAACTGAGAAACTGAAAGGGTAATTGATTACTCGTGGAGTAACTTCCTTCAGAAACTACCACTTGATCTGTATTTGAAGTGTACAGGAGTGAACTGTGTGTTAGTAATCTCCTCCCACTGCAGAATTGATGAGTTTCAATAGCACTGTAGCATTTTCAAATAGAAACAGATGTCCTGTTGTACAGCCTACAGCAGAAAATCAATAGTAGGTGAACCATAAGTAGTCCCTTACCTTCTGAGAGGGCTCTGCTGTGAGAGCTGTGCACGAGTGAGCTCTGTGTTAGGCTGAGCTCACTTGAAGTAACATTATGACCATAATGTTTTTGTGACAAGCTTATCAAATTCCCAGCATCTGGCTTACCTCAGGTAGACTGCACACTTCACRTGATGCTCTTTGCTTACCTGCCCAAGATACTGTGTGCTGTTTTCCATGTGGAGCTGAAGTAAGCTGCATTTCAGTTGTTAGCACATATTTGTRTTATGTATTTTACCTAGGAGATGTCAGGGTAGAAATGGGGGAGTTAGAAACTCTGCAAACACACAAGCTGCTCCAGAGAGTTTACTCTGTGTCCCCATTTGGAAAAGGTTGGATAGGATAAGAGATGGGAGTGAAGCAGTGTTTCTGCTTTTGTTCAGAACTTTATGTGGAATCAGACACAGAACTGAGGTTTTCCAAATGTCATAATCACATAAACACCAAGCATGCTTTGGCATGGAAGATGCTCTGCAGGTTGTAATTATTTCCCGGGTGCTATGGTACATGTGTGCAAGGGAGGTTTTTCCAGATGATACCCTTTACTTTCTTTTAATGCATGTCAAATAATACAGACAGAAATATTAGAAGCAAGCAACCCCTATGGTTTTGATTGTGGTTAGCCTGACGGATCTGGTTTGCTTTAAGTGGAAGCTGATGAACAATGGTTTGAAAGGAGAAAAGGAAAACGGCCACAGTGCTGAGGTCAGTCAGCCACTTCCTACATCCAGCTGTTTCAGTTTATTTTTTTAATTAAGTTTGSCTTAAATTAATGATGACAGTTTAAAGAGAACTCTTTCACCTATTTAGCTTACTTTATATCTGAAGCCAAGTCCCCTCTGTCCACTTGCATTTTGTTACAAGATTTGCAATTGGGTTCCTAAAAGTCCCTGGTTTCTTCCCCACCTTATTTTTTCGTCTTTCTGCTCTGTCGTTGCCCTCTGCCCTTCTGTGCCCTTTCAAGGGAGGGCTAAAGCCTTTGCTGCTGTGGTATGGAAACAAAGTGCCTCCTAATTGGTCATTAATACTGCTGGAGTGTGAGGATTCTTGGGAATTGCTAAATCAAGCCCATTTACTCCACCTTGAGGGTCAGCTCCTCAGATGGTATAAATCAGCTTTGCTTCCTGGTTTTCTAACAACTTGGTGTAGGTTTGCAGCGTAGAGGAGCTGGTTTGGGATCTCCAGCCTGCTGCTGCCTCCAAGCAGCAGATTCCCACGTAGAGCAGAACAGAGGCATGCTTTCTGTTTCAATGCTGTGGTCATCTCCATCCAAAAACCTGCGAATTAGTAGTTCTAGAAGTAACTGCTGTAATTGGCTGTGGTTTAGGTGGTGAGGGAGAGAAGCAGCAGTCTTGATTTCTTTTTTTCAGAAAGAATGCAGCTAAAGGAGAACTCCCCCAATGCCTGCGATGCTCCGTGCAGAGCCGCAGCCACCTGCACAGGCTAGGTGCCTTCCTGAGCCAGGAAAGTATCCTGGCCTGCCCTGAAGAGATGGAAATTGTCCTCTGCTGTAGGAGTTTGGCCTTTGTTCATGTGGAGGTTTTTAAAAATTCCTTATAACCATTAACTTTAAACCTCTTTAGGCTTACTTGCTTCTCCTACAGCAGAGCAGACTATTTATTTATTTATTTATTGTTAGATGAGGAGACCTTGCCTTAATATTTAAGATAAGAGCTGATGGCTCATAACTAAAATAAGAAATGAGGTGCCACTCCTTGTACTTTTTAAGCTTTTGCTAAGAAAACAGTAAGAATTGCATCATTGTTCATTACAGATACTAATGTGATCGCAATGGCTGCAGTCTCCTGTAAGTAGTAAAAGCTTAAGCGTTCCTTAAACTGAGATGAACCTCATGGACTGAGTGATACCATGTGTGGTGAGGTCTTTAACCACAATTTTGAGAAGGCTGCCAGAAACTAGCAAACTTGGGAGGTTATGATTGCTAATGAGTTAAATCTCACTGGCTACATGGAGCCAATGTAGAGCTGTTAGGAACATCATCATCATCATAATAATAATAACAACCCTCTCCCCGGTCAGAGTCTCTGGAAGAAAACAGCATGAGCCAGGAAGAACATTGGAGGATGCTTCACTCGGTGAGTCTCTCTTGTCTTTGGGCCATGGCTCAAAAGTTACAATAATAAGAAATAATTTATGATTCCTGTTTATAAGAACTTTTTATTTTATTACCATCACATAGTCTTACCAAAAAGAGTACCTGGTAGGTGCTAGCACAGATGCACTCTGCAGCTATTGGGTAAAATCTCCTGTAGCAATTTCTGGGTCAAAGTCAGTGACGATAATAAATAGCTGGGAAGGTGTCATTGTACAGAACAGTCAGGAATTTCAATAAATGGTAAAGTG